TTGATGATGCATGGAGGGGACTGTAACCATGGCAATGAAACGATGTATCATAGGATGAATGTAGCCTAACGTTCTCCCATGCAGCAGATTTGCCTAATGCAGTAAGTTGTTTGATCTCTTGAATGCTGCTTCCGTGAGTGTTGATAGCTGACACAAGAAAAATGAAGTCCTTGACAACTTCTCCATTGATAAGAATATTGTTTATTGGTCCAGTGGTGAGGATTTTTGTTTTCTTGACACTGCGATGTAATCCATACCAAAGGCTGTGCTCTTTGATCCTCATCAGTAAATGTTTTAAGTCCTCTGTGGCATGCATGAAATGACAGGAGCTGAAAAGTCAAACGTAAATTTCCGGAGATACCCAGGAGAACCTGATAAAGAAATACAGCTTGAGCTCAGAAAACACAACAAACCGAAACAGACAGCCTTTCATTCGAGCGTTGTTGGTGAGGCGGGCGGGCAGGCAGGCAGGCAGGCGTCGCTTCGCGGTGCCCTTGATTTGAGCTTTCTCCCTGGTCCCCGGTGAAGGTTACTCTCCTGCCCTGGGCTCCCGGCCCTGCCTTCTCAGAGGGTCCTTTCCAGAGATTTTTTCGCGTGCCTGCCCGGAGCGACCTCCTGGTCCCCGGGTCTCTCGGGTTCCCGGCGGCGGCGGAGGCGAGAAGACACTGCCCCCGGACGCGCAGCCCCGCGGAGACCTGCCACTTCCGGGCACTTCCAGCTCTACTTACCTTGTCGTTGTCCAGTCGCGTCTCCAGAATCTTATGCAGCTTCCGCGATAGCGGGTTACTAGTCTGCACCGAGGTCCCGCCGGCCCCATTGCTAATGCTATTGGCAGCCCCAGACACGGATACTGCGACGACTTCGGGGCTACCCTCGGCCATAGTGCCCCACGTCATCCACCGCTGGGGGCAGCCACTTCAGCTCCCAACAGGAACCTGCGCCGGCAATGCCCGCACTGCGCCTGCGCCCGGTGTGCTGCGCTTGCGCACCAGTCATCGAGCGTACTCAAGGACTTGAATGCCCAGAAACGCCAGTATGGATTTCAGGCTAAGACCATAAGTGGTTTTTGAGTTCAGTCCAGTAGGTTTCAACTCATGTTGTTGTTGTTGTTGTTAAGTGCCATCGTGTGGATTCTGACTCACAGCGACCCTATTTATGTTTCCAAGAGCGGCTGATGGGTTTGAACAGCCAACCTTGAAGTTAGCCGTACAGTGCTTAACCTAGAGCGCCACACTAGGACTCCTATTATGTTGTTCTTGTTAAGTGCCATCTAGTTGGTTCCAGGGTTTCTGAGAGTGCTTGGTGGGTTTGAATTACCTCTCC